TAATGATAATTACATAAATTTAGATGTTCAAACCTATTCTCTTTACATATTTCAGTGTTTGTCCGTCATGTTCTTATTATTTATTATAATTTATTTATTTAATTATTATTTATTTATTTAATTTATTATAATTAATTTTATCCTCTGACTACGTACACATTATTTATTATTTATATTTTTTATTATACAATTTTTTATTATACATTTTGACATATTTTCATTAATTTAATTTATTTATTATATTGTACTGTATTGAATTTTTACACTGATTGACTTTCCATTTTTTTATTGTATACATCCGTTATGTTCGATTGACTGATAATTATCCACGATTGCTTAACTAGATTCTCTACACGGTCTTCCAATTGTCTTGTGAGTAACTTTAATTATTTTAGAAACAACTTGCGAAAAAACGTTCTATTAAGAAGAAGTCACAATTGTAATCTAAAAATCTTTAGAATTTCTGAAGGGCTCAATCAAGAAGCTGAAACATGTAAAGAGAATAGGTTTAAACATTTAAATTTATGTAATTATCATTGATATATATAAATAATTTTACGCAATAAGTTCTGCGGTTGGCTCTTTAACGCCCTGTAACTCATATTATTGTAATAGTCATTATTTAGAGCCCATTATTTTTGTACTAATAATATAATTTTTGGTTAAACAATAATTGAAATATGTAAATTTGATAATCTGACAGTTATAATGGCGTGTTATTGTTACAATCGTTTCTACTTTTTCGCCATTATTATTATTAATTTTGACATAACGTATCTCAGAGGCTTAGAGCAAAACCGATTGATATTATAATTGTACCATTTTATCGTTGAAGTCTTTTATCATTAAATTAAGTTTCAAATAACATAATTATATACATAAATACAAAAATAATTAATTTCAACTGTGTGAAATAATCGCAAATTTTGAACTGACTGCAAATTACAATTATAATTTAAATCAATTTTTATGCTAAAAAATATCTCATACATGTGTCTTTATGGTTTGATTAATTATAATATACGATTTAATTATAGGCACTTTCATTTACAACTATGCCTTACATCATGCAAACTAAACAAAGTAAATATACAATTACTATACATGTTACTACACATGCAATGATACTTTTTACAAACTATAGCATTCTGTATTACAATGTGTTGGTTGTTTATAAATAGGGTAGACATGTGGGCAGATCAATATTACTTACTTTTTTTACATAGAGAGCCTATTTTTATTCTATATACCACTGCATTTCTCAAATTAAACTACATATGTCAAAACAAACTGTTTACTGCAAGGTATAGTAGAATTAAAACGTTATTAATTATTTATAATTACAATAATAAGCACAAGTATCAATGTTTGACAATTAAATTTATACACATATCGAAGTTTTCTTCAAAATGATGCAATCCCCGATGAAAATAAAAATTAGAGCGTAAGCGTAAATGTCTCTTTCATTTTCATCTCTTAAAAACTTTATTTACGTTTCTATTATTTCTATTATTTACGTTTCATTACATTCGATATTTACGCTCTGATTTTTATTTTCATCAAAGATTTTATACATTAGGTATAAAATTTTCAATTTTTCTACAAACTTTTATATTGTATAAAAACCATTTCAGATAAACAAAACAATAACAATTCTTTCTACAAATTGTCCATTTATAATTTCAATGAGGACTTACGTGAACAGGTAAATAATTACAATAAAATTTTATATAGAATGTTAACTCTATTATAACTATTCTATATATTCTATATATATATAATTTTAGCGCTCATGAATACCTGCATAAATTTTATCGAATTATTATGTAAAAAATTGGGACATTATAACATAGCAATTGTATTATACTTTTATATATTTTAAAATACTTGTGTATACTATATATATATTAACGCTATAGATACAATAGGTTAGAAAAAATTTCATATTATTTTTAAATGTCAAAAGCAAATATTTGAAATTTATTGATTATACTATTAATGTTCCACAAAATAAACATGTGCATTTTGGCGTATAAACTTGAATAATTTATAAAACTTT